ACGACCAATGTGGTTGCAAGCTGAATCCCAATTCTGTTTATTGCAAGCTTTCTTTTATAGTTTTCCTCTACATTACATAACACAATTAGGCTATAATAACACATTTACGGATTGGACAAGAAGGAGAATCATGTGTTTATCACATGTATAGCCCCACACCCATTGGTTCAACAGTTCCTTACATAAGGCCATGATTTGTTTACCTGGCAAGTGTCCCATCGTGACCCTTACCTCCTCATGGAACTTTTCATTAGGTTGGTGTAGGGATGATACATCCCCACAAGGAGATGTAGGTCAACTTTGCTTTCTAGGCAATAAACTTTGCCTTAGCTTAACATACAGGATATGGCCTGTAGGTCTCTTGCATTACAGCCAAACTTTAATATAAATCTATAAACCTATTACAATACATCAAATACTTAAACAATAAGAAATGATACATACATACATACATACACTATTTATTTTTTATATTATATATAATATAAAAAAATGCACAAGCAAGCTGGTTATTCCTGTAGGCTACAGATGTCCTCTTTTAGGCTGATGCAGAAATGCTAATGCTGAACAGCCTTGTTCCATTCAGTAGCCGCTACCAAGCAGTGGAACTTCATAGCATATTTAGCAACCGACCGATATCCCTGCTGCAATGCCCAAAGGACTATCTCGGCTGTATGCTCACTCCTAGGGTCACTGAAGATCACTGTTGCATCTTCCAAACAATTCATAGACAGTAACTCCTCACTTAACGGTGTAGTTCTGTTCCTGAAAAATGTGACTTTAAGTGAAACGATGTTAAGCGAATCCAATTTCCCCATAAGAATTAATGTAAAGCGGGGGGGGGGGGGAAGGGGAGGTTAGGTTCCAGGGAAACTTTTTTTGCCAGACAAAAGGCATTATATACATTTTAAACAATTTAAACAAGCAATTTAATACTACGCTGGGGGGCGGGTAGTGTGCACGTGCTGTGTCTTTACAAACCTACAGTACAGTACTATAGTTGGGAGGTGCCCTTGCCTTACCCCACACAGGCACAGCCCACTGGCACTGGAGATGAGGCAGGCAAGGAGGCTGAAGGTGCTGTAGGCTAGGAGAAGCACGTTGCGCAGCAGTGGCAGCAGCTTCCCCTACTCTGCAAGCACCAGGGGCGGGGGGTGCTCAACCCACTTCCTCGCTCCTCCCCTCTCCCTCCCCTCCTAAATGCCAGCAAGCCAGCTGATTGCCGCCAGAAGGAGCCAAGGGAGGGAGGGGGAGCCTGCACATCCCGAGTCCTCGCTCCTTTCCCCCCCCCCCGCTCCTTACTGGGGCAATCAGCTTAGGGGGCAGGGGGGAGGAGCGAGGACTCGGTGGGCAGGCTCCTTCTCAGGGCAATCCGGAGTTGGGGAGGGAGGGGGAGCCTGTGCGTCGAGTCCTCACTCCTCCCCTCTCCCTCCTGCCCCTGAAACGCTGCAAGCCAGCTGACTGCCGTGGGGGAGGAGGGGGAAGACGCTGATCCGGGGGGTCTGCCGGGCAGGAGGCGCTGGGGGGAGGGGAGGGGGCATAAGGAGGCTGCCAGCTGTGGAGAAAGCAGGCAGCCAAACAACGTAAGAGTGAAGCATTGCACAGCTTTAAATGAGCATGTTCCCTAATTGATCAGCAACGAAACAACGTTAACCAGGACGACTTAAAGTGAGGAGTTACTGTACCTAAGGCCAGGTCTAACCTACCAGCTTACATTAACTCAAGTTACGTCGGCATGCGGTCTCCGCAGTTAGTCTGTCACTTGTGTGCATGCCTGCTTTGCTCCCTGTGTCAGTGGTGAGTACACTCACCAGGAGCGGTTGTATTAATTGAGTGCAGTGCACCATGGGTAGGAATCCCACTGTGCAACTTGCCACCGTCCACTGCACTGAACCTTGGGAAGTTTTGGTAATGCATGTTGGTTCCCAGATGGATCGCATGGGGAGCATGGGATCAACTTCCCATAATGCAGTGTTCAGCATCCTATAATTGTATATGTATCCCATGATTTTTGCACCTTTTTTCCTAAATCCCACAAACCTGCGTGGCTGTCCTTGCTGCCTGCCTGATCTTTGACAGAAGCATGGAGCTTGCACAACTCTGCACTATTGTTATGGGCAGTTCTATGGACTCATGCAAGCTGCCACGGCATGGTCCGAAGAAGAGGAAGCTCCTGTGGGAGAAAGAGGTTGGGCGGTCACATGAGGGGAATATGGGGGAGAATAGAGGCAGACGCCTGTCACCCCACGTTCTCCCGTCCCAAGGTGGACAAGGCTTTCTTCCATCAACTAGCACAAGTTACTAGATCGCAGGCCCTGGTTCTCATGGGAGACTTTAATCACCCTGATATCTGCTGGGAGAGCAATACAGCGGTGCACAGACAATCCAGGAAGTTTTTGGAAAGTGTAGGGGACAATTTCCTGGTGCAAGTGCTGGAGAAACCAACTAGGGGCAGAGCTCTTCTAGACCTGCTGCTCACAAACCGAGAAGAATTAGTAGGGGAAGCAAAAGCGGATGGGAACCTGGGAGGCAGTGACCATGAGATGGTCGAGTTCAGGATCCTGACACAAGGAAGAAAGGAGAGCAGCAGAATACGGACCCTGGACTTCAGAAAAGCAGACTTTGACTCCTTCAGGGAACAGATGGGCAGGATCCCCTTGGAGAATAACATGAGGGGGAAAGGAGTCCAGGAGAGCTGGCTGTATTTTAAAGAATCCTTATTGAGGTTGCAGGAAAAAACCATCCCAATGTGTAGAAAGAACAGTAAATATGGCAGGCGGCCAGCTTGGCTAAACAGTGAAATCCTTGTTGATCTTAAACGCAAAAAAGAAGCTTACAAGAAGTGGAAGATTGGACAAATGACCAGGGAGGAAATAAAAATGTTGCTCAGGCGTGCAGATAAGATATCAGGAATCTAAAATCCCTTTTGGAGTCACAAAAAGC